ATATTGTCAAAAAACAACAAAAAAAATCAAATGTATAGTAAAAAGGGTAAAAAAATGAATTAGCAGTGAAAAAGCCTCACAAATCTGAGAAAATCAAGACCACCAGAGGTCTTTCTTCTATGTTTATACTAAAGCATGGAATGACATTCCTCAAAACATAAAGTCCATTTCAAAACTACAGCCCTTTAAGAAGAATCTTGTCTGCCATCTCCTGGACACTTTCTGTTGTGCTCAAATTTAGACATCCTATTTTGCAAATGCTGCCTTCCTGAAATTTGGTATGCTTGTTTGTCTTTGTGTCTATTGTGTGTAGTGCTGTGATTGTGATGCTGTATTTCTGAGTGTTTTATGTGCTGCAGAACAGGAACTTGCTGTAAAACAGCAATTGTGCCGAGTCAGGCTTGGTTTTCAGTAATCTTTTCCTGTTGAATCAATAAATCAAATCAAATCAAAAACAGAAATGTAATCAGATTTAATATACTGTAGGAAACAAAGACAGACATGCCTCTGAGACTTGGCCTATAAAATTATTGACACGTTACAATCTCAAAACCAATGAAGTGTGATCAATTTATAGTAAACTCTGTGCGGACAAAGATAAATTAATGCACAGAAACAAAAAGCAGGAAGTGCTTCATAAGCTCCTCTGAGCAGGGAAAAGAGTTTTATAAAAAAACATTTAATCTTCAAGACCATTGTGGGAAAGGAGAAGTCCCACATGCAGGTGGCACATTTACTGAAATGGAGAAAAGCAGCAGACAGAAACAGAGCAAGTCGTACAATCTGATGACAGCAGATTGCAGCAGTCAAACGCTTCAACACAAACAGCCTCAGTCTGCATAAGCTGCTGTCAGACAAACATGAGTGCATTTTGTTTGCAAAGGAATCCAAAACACACACGACAAAGCCATTACTAGTTTGGTTTTGCACAAATTACCYCTCAGACTGTGTTGGTGGTGCATTTCAGGGGACGCACCTCATAAAGAACTGTGCTGTTGCCGTGGAGCAAAGGCCCGTAGCAGATGTAGGAATGTCCAACCACCCAGCCCAGATCTGACGCGGCCCACCAAACCTGCCTCAAACCAATAAAACCACGTCATAAAGGTAATAAAACACTGTTCTTAAATTAGATCTGAAACTGAAAGCAAACCTGGAACAAACTCGTTCTAAACAGCGTGAACAAAAAATTAAAAATAAAAATAACAGATTTATCTTACGTCTCCAGGACTGAGCCCATAAATGTTTGACATGGTCCATTTCAGCATAACAGCGCAGCCTGCAGTGTCTCGAACAACACCCTGAGGGGTGGGAGAAGAAAAAACATTCACCTGCTGACAGGTAGTTCACAGAGCTGAGGAGCGAGACTTTAATATCTCTTTAAACACAGACGATCAGACAAGCTGCGCTAAAGGGGAATTGTATTTTGGTTCTGAATGAACGCTTTACACGCAATGCTGCTGTTGGGGCTATTTTTACTTATTTGTGCCTTCTAACCATTGGAGCAAAGCAGCTCTCATGTCAAGTCCTCAGAGTTTTAGTGTGCAGACAAAAGTAAGTGAAAATAACTGATATAATACATTAAAAAAACATCTCATTTTTTTTAAAGTTAAACTACGAGTATTTTTTATTTGATGGAGGAAAATCCTGCTGCACTGAAAATGTTTGCCTTCATTTATGTCARGGTGACCCCTGTTTATGTTCAGTACAATCTGTTTACAGAGATCTTAAGAGTCACGCTCCGRAGATAAACTCAGCCCAGAGTAAATCCTTTAACTCAATAAGAAGTTCCATCAGAACAGTAATGAGTGACCTTTGGTGTTCCGGTGGTCCCCGACGTGTAGAGAACGTACAGGGGATGGTCGGAGGGCAAAGGAACGCAGTCGTGTGGTCGAGCCGTGGCCATCTCCTCATCCCAGTCCAGGTTCAGTTCTGGGCTCATGGACACGGTCTCCTAAAGCCCCCCAAAACACACGAAAGAAACTATTTTTAAAATTTGGTTTTGAAAACTGTAAAGTTTAGGTATTTCATATCAACTGACTAGCGTATTAAGCAGTCAAAGTTAGCATAACACATTTTTCCACCACAAAACAGACAAAATTGTTGTTTGTCCAAGTGCTGAGTCAGCATTTATTCTGCTGTTTCACTCTTTATAGTTTTTTTTTTCGGTAAGTTTTTTTTTACTTAACTATTTCAGCTATTTGTATATGAAAATGTTGAACTTTTTCAATGCATTACAGCTTCGTATAACCTTCATTTATTTTTAATTATATTTTAATGATTCCTACTTTTATTCT